AGCGGTCTCAATAGAAGTTGCGTGACCTGACGAGAAGTACTGATGTAAACTTGAACCTTTCTAACGCAGTGGTGTGAATCGAGTGAGGTGCTTCACGGTTGCGTTTTAACCCTTTGGCGACAATGGCACCCACGGTGGGTGCCACTATGACCGTCGCGTGGGACAATGGCACCCAATGGTGGGTGCCACCCTAAAATTTTCTTTTTACCCATTTAAAACATTTTCAACATATCAGTAATTATAAGCAAGCTCCGTTACGCCTATTTTTTTAGCATATTTTGCAGAAACACATGGAGGAGTTTGAACTATATCAAAAATTCTACTGTACATTTGAACTTCTAGAGTTTTCAAACACATCCCTTTGAAATCCGAGATTTCTTTCCAAACTTCCACTTCTAATTCCAACAATACATGATCATAAAGCTAGTCATATTTTGTTTATTGTCATAGTCAAAATTTTGATAGAAAAACTGCTTTTAGGGACAATTTTGCCCCATTTTGTGCGAGAGTTGGGCGCGCCAAAAAGAGGCGTGGTCCCACGAGCACGCTACGTGCAAATCCGCATTGTCGTCAAAGGGTTAATGATTTTTTTTGGAGCAGTAGGATTTGGGGTGAGATAACACATCACTGGTGAGCCAGTGTAATTCTCGGTTCGGTTCGTGTCAATCATTGGACAATGTGAAGGGATAAGGCTGTCGAGATTCCTCGTTCCATAGCGATTGGAGGTGGTCCTCCCTAGCCGTGTATAATTCTAATAGAACAGAACTATGTTGACTGGTTTGAGGCATTGTTCACAGTTTTCGAATCATCCGAATATTCGAATTCGCGAAAAGAATTATATACGTATCGACCATGAGAATTTCCGCACGCGCGAACGCGGATGCGAAAAGGTTTAGATGCGTGTCGACTTAGTCAACCATAAGAGATTTCAGATTGTCAAATGAGACATAGATTGTGGAAAGCTTTGAATGGATTGATTTGTGTCTATAAACCTGTGGACCTCTCAATCACTGGATTAAAGAGGCAAATCGTGAAGCGAATATGTGCTGATGGGAACGAGGTAGTAGGAATGCCTCGGCTTCCGCTGATAAAAATGCCTATTGTGGAGCCGCATGAGACGAGTGGAGCGCTACTGGTAGTTGGAGAGAAAGAAGTGCAGGATTACACGTAAGGCTTTCATGGCATATGATGACCTTATACCAGCTGAATTTTGCCATTTGATGTTGATAATCGTATTCTCGTCAAGGCTGCATCCACTCGTCTGTGGTGAGGCATTCCGGCCCGAAGATATTAGGTTGGAAGAGGTTCACTACATGGAAAGTACTTCTTCCGGTGTGTGCGGTGAGTTGGTCTTGTTTCTTTCTCGGCTTTTAGTCTTACTGGGGAACTTTTCCACGAACCCCTCCAGGTCCAGGTCGTTAAAACACTTTTGACATGATGACGAGATATCAGCGAGAGTCTGGTGAAGTGAAACTATTGGCTGCAACTCTTTCCCTCAAAATCTTCACGGGCATATGTGCATTTGAAGGGAGAATCAAGATTTAGCGGCGCTAGCGTCTCAAGCAGCGATGGCACTAAGCCTAAGCCCAGTAGGGAGGCTCAAAAGTGCCAAAAGTTGCATTCTGGAATGAAGCGAAATTACAAATCACACTGTTCGCAGCCTTCAGACTCCTTCCTAGGCCAAGACTTGGTGCCATCGCGCTTGAAAGACACCGTGCCGCCGCGTGGTCCCCTCCCCCAGCTCAATGAGCATCGCTTCTTTCGTCCCTTTATAACTTTTTTTCTCGTCCTATTCTCTATGGCCTTTTCCTCTTCGAAAATTCAAGTAGAACGTATTTGCGGTGTAGCAGGTGATACTACCCTTCTTTGGCAAGGTAGGTATGGGCACCCTACCCTTCTCTCACGCTATCAACTTCGATAACCGGATCTTTTAAGAGGCCTTGTGTAACGACTCAGTGTTTATTTGAGGCGACTGCACGCAGTCCGGGTATGAGGCTAGCTAGGCTTGTTCATTCTAGGGAAGAGATAAGCTAAACAATCAACGTCGAAAAATCGAATGTGGGATTATCCTCGTACGTCGAATTGAATCGTTTAGACTGACATCGTGCTTTTCTAGTGTTTGCACTGAACGATGAGTGCGAGAAGATTCCGGAGATCCAATCTCGGTCTTGGGTAAATAATTATCGATTGGAAGGTGTTTTTGGTCGTGAAACGAATAAGCATGAAATCAAAGCCGGGGTCACTTTGAAGGCTGACTATGGTATGTCTTTTATGACTTGCAACTTTTATACTTTCGGAATGAGATTTACTATGTATTGATGTAGTCGTACAATGAATTTGATTTGAATTCTAGTAATATTGAGTTTTACAATGGCATTATATTTTTTATTGTTTACCAACTTTATATGTATTTCATATAAGATTTTCTTTTTAGCATTTATCGCCTAGATGACAGGAAAAATATTAGCTAGAGTGCAATCAGATATCGGAAGTGGCGGTCCAGGGAGAGCGTGATTTGGCAGATGTATGTTACATGATTCTTTCTTATGTGGAAATTCAAAACTATTTTGAAGAAAAACGATGGTATTGGTTTGGGGAATGGAAATTCATGATGAATAATACTCGTGTGAAGCACATTTGGAATAGCGCGCATAGGATACAGGAGGCAACTGGCTGGAGCTAGATTGTTTAATGTGCCCGTTAAAATTTCATTTACCTTTTATCGGTTATACATGTGCAATGGTGGGAGAAACTGATGCTTTTTTTGAGGTGAGGTTATTTATTATGAAGACATTTTAAATGCATTCCAGTAGTATCTGAAACGGTTTTACATGGACGTGTCTACGTTGGTTGTGGCTTTATTCATGCCACAAATATTGCCTTATAGGATCCTAGACATGCTAAAACAGTCAGTGAAGTGGATCAATGGTTAGGTGCTTATTTCACGAGTTATGTGAGCTCGTGGAAGACAGTAGTGTAACTTGGCAGAGGTGAGCAGTTTGGTAGAGTATCAAGTGCCGTGGGTTCGTTGCTGTTGGTAAGGATATAAGAGGAGGATGCCTCACAGGTCTCCAGCATGGATCAGTAACATATGTATACTACACTTTCGCAAAAGAGCATGTCTCGCTCAACCCCATCCCTCACATCTGAGGCACCGTTGTGTGTTAATCGCTTTCCCGGCATATGCTTGAGGAAAACTGCCATTCTGTCATACTGAACGGGCTGGATAAGCATTCTTGACGCAAAGGGATCTCCTTCAGTGCAGTCTCAAATCTTTGTTCTGAATCGAACCATTGTAGAAGTTCAATCCCTCTTCCATGTTTGATGTGTAATTTATAACATCGAAACGGATACACATGTGGGTTCCATATTTTGGGTACCCGACAGGAGGCCCGTCGCGCGGCAAGAAGGCAGAGTCAGCGGACGAGTCGCAGCGCGTACTGTAGTGATTTCGCGTCAAGTTAAATAGAATGTCCATTGTACGTCCTACATCGCACAGCACGCGCTGCGTTCGTCCGCTGACTCTGCCTTCTTGCCGCGCGACGGGCCTCCTGTCGGGTACCCGCATCTTTTAGGAAGCCAAAGCGTAATGCTGTGTGTTAGCCATTTGGGTAGTAGTAGATTCTTTGATCTCCGCCAAGATGATTTTTTATTGCATTGTTAATCTTTTCGGGAAAATAGTGTTGCGGTAGAGCTGGCTAGGTTTGCTGACAACAGATTTCAGTTCATTTTGTGCGATTGCATTCAGTTTTGAGGAAGCAAAGGCACGGATTACTATCTTTAATGTATCTGTGAAGCGTATGTGAATGTATAAGTGAAGAATACATCATCTTGAAGCTAATTAAAAGTGTTTTCAGGAGCACCTTCGGTCCATTCCATGCAAATCACGCGTTGTTGGAGAAGCAAATTTCGCTTCAGAATATTGTTAGAAATATCGAATTGTGCAGGTTCGCCTACTTCTTATTCCTCGTGAATAGTGAAGGAAAACCACTTTATTGATTATATTCTTCTTATTGTTGTTATTTATAACGTTTACATGACTTTCATTCACAGGAGAATCATGAATAATCTACCGGATGACGAAGGTGTCGTCTCTGAAAGCAACAGCCCGTACGAAGAGGAAAGGGATGTGGTGGATGGACTCGATCTGCAAATAGAGCAGGAAGTTGATGCAATGAGACCTCCATGGCCGAGACATTACACGTGATCGAATGAAGCTATACCTCATATTATTAGTAAATATTGGTTAGGTTCTAGGTTTTCACGTCTGATGTTGTTGTGACTGCATAGCTTGCTTAAGCAATCGTAACAAATGTACATATAGGGAATAAATCAATATTTGGTCGTCTCGTTCCTCATTGCGAGATCGAATGTTTCGAAGAAAGTTAAGCTTTCACTCGAAGATTGCTGAGTCCCAGCACATTCGGGAGGATCACGCTTGTACACATTCCGAAAAAGCCGTGCCGAATTTTCCTACAAAGGGATGCGTGGGTTGAGAGGAGGCGGCTTCGAGAACCGGTCGAATATTTGGTTGGCACCATGCATGAAAGACATATCTGTAATTTAGGTGGCAATCTCAGTGGATGAGGACCAGTTTAGCTTTTTTCACATTTTCTAGTTGAGGAGATATTTGCGTCGAGGATCTATCAAGGATGATTCTCGAGCCACCAAAAGATCCGCTCCCTTCTTCACCATTGCAAGTTAATTCGTTGGCAACTCGAAATGTCTAGAATAAATCTCCCAACAAGCGACAAGAAGGGGCAATCGTCATCGTCCGATCTCGTCTCAGTATAGGCCATGCATCCGACCTCCACTCAAGTTGTAGAATCTATTGAAAGGTGTTATACATATGATGATGACCTGTTGACAGAAACTGTAACACATTTCGTAACTCCTATAACCTAAGGAACAGCTTCATTTGTCCCAGGGCTTTCCAAACTATTGTCGTTTTTGCGACAGCGTCCCTAACAACAGTGTCATTCTCAACGAGGTATTAAGGGAGAGGGAGCGGCGGTAGATAGAGGAGGTGCCTTTGCAGCGCGTGTGCACATGTGGCCCCGTTCTTGTGGAATACATCCTTCTCATAAAGGTAGAGGAATGGAGCGACTGAACCTGCAAAGAATATTTCATCATGTTTTCTCACATATCCTTGTTTTCTGCTGCGCTACACCCTCTTACTCCTATCTGCACCACGATACCACTGATGTTACTGACCCCCAAGAGTACGACCCCCCATGACCCAGCCTGACAAATACGACCCCCCTGTCGAGGATTTCCTCGACCGATATTCACCCTGCTATGGAGAGCGCTCAGGGAACGAAACGTGCCAGAACACCTGATCTCTCTGGTGAAGGACATGTACGATGGGGCCAAGGCAGCTATACGCACCCCACACGGCCTAACGAAGGAGGTGGACATCACGGTTGGGGTGCACCAAGGGTCAGCTCTGAGCCCGTTCCTCTTCCTCCTAACACTAGATGTCCTGGTGAAGGGCTCATGGAAGGACCACTGAAGACCATCCTCTACGCTGACGACATCGCCCTGATAGCGGATAGCAGAGAGAACTTCAGGCCAAGGTGCAGAAATGGCAGAAAGTCCTGGCAGAAGGTGGGCTCCGGCTGAATGTCAAGAAGACCAAGTTCCTGAGCTCCGAAGAGGGTGCAGAGCCGATCGTGGACGGCCATGGTGAGACATCGAAAGAGTGGAGGACTTCCGATACCTTGGGAGCGATCTGGCAGCCGACGGCAGTGTGGATCAGGCAGTGAAGGCACGGGTCAACGCGGCATGGATGAAATGGAGGGAGTCCACTGGATCCTCTGCGATCGAAGGTGCTCCAGAACG